CTCCCGGCGACCCGTGCCCTCCCTGTGACCGCCCTGCCAAGGAGCAGCAGGGGTCCTCACCCAGGCACACCAGGTTCCCATAGTTCTCCAGCATCACTTGGCGGTACATCTCCTTCTGAGAGGGCCCCAGGTGCCCCCACTCCTCTGGGCTGAAGGTCACAGCCATGTCTCTGAACATCACTGGTTTCTGAAACACCAAAGACCTTTATGTTTGCTGGCATGCCCTCCTTCCCGAAGCCTTGGAGGGAGGCATTCTGGTGCTCATACCGCCCTCCACATTATGAATCACGCCACAAAGGAAAGGGAACAGCCCTTTATCTGAAATCAAGTAAGCAGGCCGCCAGTCATAGAGTCTGGGAAGGGAAGGGAATCAGCATGCATTATGCACCGACTGTTTGTGGGGCACTGGGCTAAGTGCTTTGCAGAGAAGCTGACAGGCCCTCAGGAGCCCCCAGAAAGGAATGCTCTTGTAACTGCTCTACAGTCTGGGCAAGGCTGGCAGCCAGCAAGGTGCTGGTACAGCCAGGCCTTCAGGCTCCCCTCCACCACTGGCGTCCATCCCTGGGGGCCACAGCCTGACTTAGAAAGCCACAAAGGAACATTATCTAGGCTTACCACATTTTTACTTGTTTGGTCTAATATTTCCCAATTACATTTTGTTCTGGCATGGGTGGCCCTTGGGAGTGCTGATTCAGAGGCAGCATCACCACATATGTATTCACGGTCACCTTTGTCCGTCAGCTCCCCAGGAGAGGGATGGCAGAAGTAGGAGAGGGGAGGCCAGGAGGGTTGGGTAGGGGGGCCAGGGGAGGCCGTGGGAAGGGGCAGAGGAGGTCAGGGGAACCGGGGGAGGGGCCTGGGGAGGCTAGGGGGGGTTAGGGGCATCAAGGGAGGCTGGTGAGGTCAGGGGGTGTTGAGGGGGTCAGAGGGGGCTGGGAGGGCCAGGGGCATCAGGGGAGGGAGTTGAGGGGGTTTAGGGGAGGTCAGGGGAAGTGTGGCTGGGGTGGGGCAGGGGCATCAGGGGCATCTTCTGTAGACTCTGGTCCCTTCTCCTATCACCTACTGCACAGCACTGATGCTGACCTCATAAGCAGTGTGGCCAGTGGCCTTTCCCTCTCCGCCCTCTCTGATCTCCAATCCATCCCTCGGCCGCTGCCAGAAGGATATTTCTCTGGCATGGGGCAGATGACGTCCCTTCTTTGCTCAAGCACCTACAGGTGGCCCTGAGAACCTCTCTTCTTCCACGCACTGACCATTCTCCCTACAAGGCCTGCCCTCCCCTTCCTTCTGTCTTTGGGGTCTATCCTGATCCCCTCCCCCACCAATCATCAGTACTTGGTCCCAGCAGAAGCCATGAATAAGCCCCTTGAGGGTGGGGCTTGCTGGGAGGAGGAAGCCCCCAGCCCCATTTCCCTCAGGCTGACTCACTGCTCCGAGGGCCTGGGGGGGCATTCACCAGCTCCCCTCCTCCTGAGATGAGGCTGCAGCAGCCTGGGGCAACCCTGCCTCAAGTCACTACCCCCCATTCACCAGCTCCAGCGGCCTCCCTCTCACCACCAGGATCAAATACAAAACCTTGTTTGGCCTTTGAAGACCTTCCTAACTTGCCCCCTCCTGTTGGACTCCCCACCACCCCCTCTTCCAGCCACTGCCCCGGCCTTCCTTCACTCCCAGGCTCTGGCAGCCTCTCTGGCTGCAGGCTTGGTTACGCGGCAGCCATTCTAGTGGGGACATCCCTGCCACCAGACACAGAGGGGGCCAAGGCCCCAGTGGACTCAAAAGCCAAACCTCTCTCCTCCTCTCCTGGCCTCCCAGAAGGGGCCCATGCCGGGGCCTGGGGTCAGTGCGGTGTGCTCGGGCCTGGACAGGCGAGGGAGGGCCCACTGAGGGCCTGGAGACTGGGAGGTCTGCCCTAGCTGTGCCACTTACCTCCCCGGGCACCTTCCCTGACCCTCTCGGGACCCCGGGGGCCTCCCCTCCCCCAGAATGTGGGGCAGCTCTCAAGCCCCGGGCTCCGCGAGAGAAGGGCCACGGTGGACAGGCGGTCACTCACTCACCAGGGGGGTCCCCGCGGTCTGGAGCATGGGCGCCATGCCCGCCTCCTCCTCTGGGGCCGACGCAGGGCTGAGAATGGAAAGGGAGCCATGAGAAAGCCAGTATTGTGCCCACCACCCCGGGGTACCGCGGGCAGACCCGGGACAGGCTTGTGGATGCCAAGGATGTGGGAGAGCGTGGGGAGCGTCCAGGAAGGAGGGGCATGCAGTCTGGCTGGATGTGGCCATGGGAGGCAAGGCAGTGTGGGGTGCCCTGGGAAAGAGGGCTGGCCCTGGGGGGCTGGGGTCTCTCCTAAGGCACTGGGGAGCCACAGCAGGTGGAGGAGGGGGAGCAGTGTGGGTGCCCTGGGAGGCTGCTGCTCTCAGGGAGATAGGTCTACAGAACACAGCCTGCTGCCCTCGCCCCGCCCCTCCTCCGCGAGCAGGTGCACCCATTGGCCCGCCTCGGGAGCCAATTAGCGGTGCAACTACTCCCTGGCCCTTCCCACCTGCTCTCCCACAGGAGAGCCGCTGATTGGCTCCTTCACCTCCAAACAATGGGCTGGCTCGCTCGCGGAGGTGATGGAGCTGAGGGAGAGACCGGAGGCGGGGCTAGCAGTCTGACAGCTCAGGTGCGGCTCTCTGCACCCTTCCCCCGCCCACCTTCCTTCCCTGCAGGCTCCCAACTCAGGCTCCCAACTCCCGGGCGCCCGGGTCCAACCCGGTTCCCCCATCCACCCAGCTCTGGCCCTGGGCCCCGGCTCCTTCTTACCCCGACCCCAGGGTTCAATCCCCAGGGACCGACGGCTGAGGACGGAGCAGAACTGAGGCTGTCGCGAACGCGCGCCCACGATGGCTAGGAGCAGAGGGCAGGAAGTGTCTTCGCCGCGGAGATCTAGCCGAAACCCCGCCCGGAGTCTCCACGCGGGCCTTCTGGGAAGTGTAGTCCTGAGGCCCGGGCGGCGTGTGCGCACGCGCGGAGTCCTTGCAATGGGCGGGAACCTGGTGGAATCGGGGCGGGGGGAACAAGCACTCAAGTTCCAGTACCTTTAGGGAAAGGCCTTCCTTCGTGGCAAATCTCCGTCACCCCCCTCTGTGCCTGCTCTTCCGTCTCTCCCTGTCCTGGCTCCCCTTCCCGCGATCCTTCCGCGTTGCCCCAACTCTGGTCCCCGCTCTCGGGGACTCGGAAAGACCGTTCACACCGTCTACACCGCACCCCTTTCCAGCTCATCCTCATTCTCATCGGGCTGGCTTCCAGGGAAGCTATCCGGCCCAGGTTGACCAGAGAGCTCTCGGTGGACTCAGAGAACGCGGTCACGAGAAGCCCCCAGTGGGCTAGGGGCGCGTTGCAAAGGGCCGTGAATGTCAGACGGAGAAGTCAGAGCTCTTCTCCTTTCCTCCTGCAGTAACTGAAGCCGCTGAAGCAGAGGGGAGGGGGCCGCGGCTGGCCAGGCTTGGGGGATTGTCTTGGCAGCCGGGAATGGTGGGAGTCCAGCTGGGAGGCTACTGAGAAAGGCCTGCATGGGCACCATGGCTGCGGGGGGGAACGAATGAAGAAGCATTTATTTAGGGATTGCTCCGATACAAACTAAAACAGGATGCACCTGCCCTCCAGGGGCTCACATTCTAATGGGGGAGGGGGGAGAAAACCGCACACGGAAGGTGTCCACTACTGGTCAGATGGAGAGGTCCCGTGGTCCCTAGGGTACAGCCGCAGATCAGATGGTCGGGAGTCTTTCTTAACATCATTTCCACTGATAAAATAATGTGCATTTCCGATGCTGAACCATTTGTACCGAGGACTTTGGTAAGAGACATTTCAGGGTCTTCCATAGCTGCTGGTGGGGAAGGGGGAATACAGAGGTACTTGCTGGGTTACATCTCTAGGCTACTCCCCAAGATGGATGGCCAAGCCAAACCAGTGATCTGGGGTGGGGGGAGGGGGAGCCACTACTCCAAGGCTCCTCAATTTACCCACCTGTTAGAAGTGAGCATTTGGGGCAGATGTTGACGAGGGTACTGAGTCCCTTCTCTGTGAGGACAGCACTCCACAATGTGGCAGCAGAGGTTAGGATGGAAGCAGGGCTGGTGATCCAGGGGGCATGGGTATTCCTGGGGCTCTGGGATGCAGGGTCTTGGATCTGACATCACTTGTGTTGTCTCAGGAAGCCTTGAAGTCTGAGATATTGCGCCAACATAACTATCAAGACTTGGTAACCGAATTTAAGGAGGGAGAGAGAAGAGAGAAAGACTCAAGCTGTGGTGCCCTCAACAGAAACGAGGTTGGAAAGAGGGGTCGGTCTGGGAAGAGAATGAGGTCTGGTCTAGACATCTGACACACCTAAGGGACAGTGGACTGGAGGAATCGCTTAGGCAAGTGGTGATGCCACGTTCAATAAAGACAGTAGGGATGACAAAGGAATCTGTGGGAGCTCATGGGATGAGAGGGAGGAGGGCAGAGCCTAGGGGGCATGCCACGGGCGAGACATGAGCAGCCACAGTGGGGGCAAGGAAAGCCAGGCAAGAGTGGTCACAAAAAACCGGGAAGTAGAGTATATGCACAAGGGGGATGGTCAGAAGAACGTGGGCTGAGGAAAGCCTGGGGAGCTTACCAAGTAGGGTAATAATCTTGGGAAGAATCATCTTGGCTGAGTGGGGAAGGGGGAGAGGTTAGCCAAAGTGGAGGCGGTGAATCTGCGTGGTTGATTTTCAGGAATTCGGCTGTGACAGGGAGAGGAGATGAAGATGGCAGCCTGAGGAGCTGGCAGGGTTAGGGGAAGGTACACTTTGTTTCTAAGGATGGAGGAGGACTGGGACATCTGTAGGCAGCAGTGAAGGAAAAAATGAAGATTGGGGAGAAAGAAGGAACATTCCAAGGGGATGAGATGAGGGAGAATGAGAGGCAGAGCTGCACAAAGTCAGCCTTGATCTCTCTTCCTGAGTCATCAGAGTCCAGTGACAAGACAAAACTGGATGACTGGTGATGGCCCGGGATGTTCGGCCAAGCTCTAAGCACTCTACGGTGCCTGCTTCAGCCACCTTCAGGGCCCATGAGAACAAACTGTTCATACCTGCCTGTTCTGCCAGCGGGAGCAGTCTTCACGTGCTCGGGGCAGACATCTCCCTAACTCACCAACGGTTTGAGGCCCATCGGTTATCCTCAACCTGGTTTAGCCATCTGCCGAGATGGTTCTGCCAGGGTGTGGCCACACTGCACGTGCTACAGCTTCTTGGAACCACGGGTGAGGTGGCCACCAAAGGTGGATGAATGGCCCTGGAAGGGGCTTGGCAAGCCCGCACACCAGTGGTGCTAGTCGTCCATACACCCCATACACCCCTGACCCTCAGCAGGACTCCAGAGAAGAAAGGTCCAAGGAAACAATGCAGGACTACTGGGGAGTCCCTTCTCTTGGGCTTCTCCATACCACAAACGCCGTGATGCTCAGTCTCCAGACAACACAGGAAACAATCCTTATGCCTTTGTGGAGTTCTGATGGTGAGCTTCTTGAGGGCAAGGGCCATGTCTCTGACTTTCTTTGTATCCCAAGGGCTTAACACAGTGCCCAGCACACAGCCAAGACCAGTTCCTGGGGTAGAAACCAAGGACAGAGGAAACAGGACTTGTGGATGCAGCCCAGACATAACCCGTCAAAGTGAGGTCTGAGGGGCTGATGAGGATGTTTGAGTCTCATGGGCTTCTAAATCCACGTGGAGATGTGGGGAGGGGAATTCCAGGATCTTGGGATCCACGACAGGTGAAAGAGACTTCTGGGGGACAAGAAGGGCCTTGTGTTGCTGAATGTCAGGGCATAAGGTAAGGCCGGGAATGAGGTTTGGGAGGATCTTCGAGGCCAAAGGACAAAGGGGTGAGCAGTAGCCACAAATTTAGGCTGCTGTTTGAGGAAGATTAGACCAGCAGAGTGTGAGGCAGACTGGAGGGGAAAGACGGAGGGCAGGCCAGAAAGGAGATGCTATTCAGCAGTATCACCCAGTTGAGGGAGGGGGACCCACTGTGGGGCACTGGCAGGGATGGGGAGACTCGGTAGCTGATTGGATGTGAAAGGTGAAGGAGAGAGGGTGTTTCTGTGTCCCCAGCACTGAACACAGTCCCTGGCACTTATCAAACGCTCACTAAAGGCTTGACTGGTCCCTAGGCATAAGCTTGATAACTGTCTCTAAAAGTACAAAGGGGTCCTATCCTCGAGTTCCCCAGCTGCTTAGGCCACCTTGTCCCTTCTCCAAGGAGTGAATGAGATTCCTAAAAGAGGGAGCAAGTAGAGAAGAGGACCAAGGGGAGAACCTCAGGGGACAGCGAACTTTGAGTGCATGAAAAAGACAGAACCGGGAAGAAACTAAGAAGGTTCACTGTATGGGAGGAGGAGAGGAAGATAAGCAACCCTCCCAAAGCACCCAACGCACTGAGTGATCAGAAGATCACTGAAGACTCTTTTACAGCAACTTCAGCAAAGGGGTTGAGAAAGAAACCAGGGGTAAAGGATCTAGTTTTGGCTAGTCTGAAGGCAGGTGGGTAGAGGCAGAAACAGAGAGACAGAGTGAGAGACAGAGACACAGAGACACAGAGAGAGACAGAGACACAGAGACAGAAAGAGGGAGACAGAGACACAGAGAGAGAGAGAGAGAGAGGACCTTACTAACGGCCGAAGTAAGGTCCTCCAGGAAGAAGGGCAGGTGATTTGGCTTCAGCAAGGAGGGGGAATACTTCCTCTGTGGTAGAAGGGAAGGTGAAGAGTGAGGATAATGCTTCTGAAGATGCCTGAGGAGTGCTTTTGAGGAAGCAAGTGCCTGTCAGATTCACAGAGAACACAGTAGTAGCTGTCTTTGTCTAAGTTACCTCCTGATGCGGTTGGCAGGCGTCTGAAAACCTGAAAAGAAAAACAGCTGCTGTAGGACACTACACAGGGGATTTCTTTATCCACAGGGTTTTACCTAAGTTTGAATTCTCTAAATTTCAGCGTGTGTCCTGACTGAAATCTTCACATTCATTCACTTTACAAGGCATTGCCACTCAAAAGGCTTCACCGTGAATTCTCTGATGTTGAATAAGATGTTTGCTCAGGCGGAAAGCCTTCCCACACTCATTACACTCGAATGGTTTTTCTCCTGTGTGGATCCTGTGATGGGAAGTAAGAACTGTTCTCCAGCGGAAGGCTTTCCCACATATGCTACACTCATATGGTTTCTCCCCAGTGTGAATCCTGTGATGGGAAGTCAGTCCTGTGATCCAGCGAAAGGCCTTCCCACATTCGTTGCATTCATAAGGTTTCTCTCCAGTGTGGATACTCTGATGTTGAATGAGGTGTGCACTGAGGCGGAAGGCCTTCCCACATTCATTACACTCATACGGCTTCTCTCCAGTATGAATTCTGCGATGGGAAGTAAGTTCTGTTTTCCAGCGGAAGGCCTTCCCACATTGATCACATTCATAAGGTTTCTCTTCAGTGTGAATTCTCTGATGTCGAGTAAGTTGCTTGCTCTCACGGAAGGTCTTCCCACACTCATGACATTCATAAGGTTTTTCTCCAGTATGAATTCTCTGATGCTCAGTAAGTCCTGTGCTCCGACTGAAGGTCTTTCCACATTCATTACATTCATATGGTTTCTCTCCAGTATGAATTCTTTGGTGCCGAGAAAGCTGCTTGCTCTCACGGAAGGTCTTCCCACACTCATTACATTCATAAGGTTTCTCTCCAGTGTGAATTTTCTGATGACGAGAAAGCTGTGTGTTCCGACTGAAGGCCTTTCCACATTCTTTACACTCGTAAGGCTTCTCTCCAGTGTGAATTCTTTGGTGCCTAGAAAGCTGTGAATGGTGTTGGAAGTTCATCCCACACTCATTACATTCATGGGGTTTCTCTCCAGGACAAATCCTGTGACAGGAAGGAAGGAGACAAGCTGTGGTTTAAAGATGTTCTTAACTCATGACTTGTCAGTGTGTACTCTATTCTGTTCAATAAGTTCTGAATTATAATTTCACGGTTGTATTGCAATGGAAAGACTCTGGGACTGGAGCTGGAGGGTCAGGGTTACAATGACCATGGGCTAGCCAACTCATTTCTCGGAGGCTAATTTAAATGGTCTGCAAAATGAGTGGGTAGTGGTGGAATGAACTAGATAATATCGAAGGTTCTAAATCTAGAATTTTCCACTTAAAATATCATTTGTGTGCATAACTGGGCCACATGGTGGCACGTGGAGAAAGCATGAGACTTGAAGTCAGGGAGGCCTGAGTTCAAATTCTGCTTCTGACACTGTTTAGCTGTGGGACCCTGAGAAGTCACTTCACCTCTCTTTGTTTCCTCATCTGTAAAATGGGAACAATCACAGTATCTCCTTCCCAGGGTTGTTGTGAGGCTCAAATGAGAAGATTTGCAAGGGCACTGTCAACCTTAAAGTGGTATGAAATTGTCAATAATAAACAACAATAATTAAATTTTAATTTATCATCATCATAGATCTGAAAAGCCTCTCAAGTTCTTTCTCTAGGCCCCATATTTGTGGAGATCCTTTTCCACTGCTACTGGGGACTGCGGACAAAGGGCTGATCTAAGAGACAAGCTCCCGCCATATCTGTTGGATTTCCTTCAGTTGACTTTGACTTGCCTCCACGGCTTTTCTTCAGTGTGCTTCTGCCTCCCCATGGTGGGAGTGGGTTTGGAAGCATGTTTCAAACTGGAGCCCAAAAGACGATCCCTGGCACGTCCTTCCCGAGACGAGTCTTCAACTGACATTCCCAACTTTGAAGCAGATTCCTTGGCTTCAGCTGTCACCTCACCATCTGAAAACAATAAATTAGATGGCTAGCCAGACAGGCAGACAGGAGATAGAGAAACGGTACTTCCCCCTTCTGGGGAGAAGGGGAATTGCACTTTCCTTCATCTTATGTTCTGTCTTTTCTAATTAGGAACACAATTTTCAAGTTTTGTAGGCTAGAAAAAAATCATGAAAATGCTGTTTTATATCTGCATAGCCATTTGCGGTTCATAAAAACCTTTCCCATGGATCCTTCTGAGATTAGTTATTACTTTTCCCATTGAAGAAGCCAAGTAATCTGCAAATTTATGCCCAAACTGGGACAAAATTCAAGGTCCTGTGATGCTCCCCATCCTGACCGGTGGACTCCTCACATGTCCCATATAATCCAGGTGGCCCCAGCCAGACTTCACATTACTTCTCCTCACCCCCAGCTAATGCTGTCCACTCCAGAACAGAAACCATGTCCTGGAGGACATAACCCTTTTATCTGCCCCAACTCCCTCCCGTCCTGACTGCCAAGTGCCTCAGACTGCAGACCACATCGGTCATCTCAAAAACTTTCTTACAACCAAGAGTGTGCCCTCTTGGGTGCAATCGGTCCTTCTTTTCTAGCTCTGGAAACATAACGGATCAATACCTCTACTACTACTGGAGAGGGTCTGAACCTACTGGCCTATAGCACCACTCCCTTGCCCTTTAACTGCTCACACCCAATTATTCCTCCCTGGTCAGCATCCTCCCCTATAGCTTGCCTGCCTCTATTAGAGTGGGAGTTTCTTCAGGACAAGGACATGCTCCACTTTAGCACTGCGATCCCCCACCCTCAACAGAGGCCTCAGTCTATAGACAAGGGCTGAATGAGTGAGTTTTCATTCATTCCTTCCAAGTTCAGAAAAGGCAGCATTGTTGAATATTAATAATGGGGGACTTGTCTTTTGTATTTATATCTCTAGTGCTTAGCACATAGTAAGCCTTTAGCCTTAATGCATTCCCTTTATCAATTATCTCCAATGAATCCTGTCTACAGCTTGTTTCTACATACTTATTTGTATGTTGTCTCCCCCACTACACTCAGCTCTTTGAGAACAGGCAAAGGGTTTTTTGTTTAGGTTTTTTTGCCTTTCAGCCTTAAACTACCCCCTCCTATTTGTTACCTCTTTCCCCCACTCGTGGAGCCATAGTAAGCATATCAATCATTTCTCCTTTCTTCCATTGACCTAGTTATCTAATTCTTCGCCCTCTTTTTTTCTCCTCAGTCAAGTAAAGTACTATTTTTTCCCTTCAACTTCTTTTGTTAGGTTTTAAATTCATTTTCTGCCCCTTTTTCTAAGAAATCCTCCCCCGCATTCTCTTCCCCTTCAGTCTATTCCAGACTGTTCTTTTAAGTCACGGTTCTTCTACTTTAGTCCTCCTCTAGGCTCCATTTTGTTCATGGGATTAAAGCTCCCAAATTGCCTACTTTGGCTTCCCTCTTTTCAACAAGTCAAGGTTACTGCCTTGGAGATCTCGACTCTGCCCTTTTGGCTGCTGTCTGAAGCATCGCCCATGGTAGAAGCTTCTCTGTGTCCCTGATCATGTACCAATCCACCCCACCATCATGTTCCTTCCCATTCGCCACCAAACGTCCTCGCTACGTCAAGGCCTTCCCATCCTTCTGGATGTCCGTCACCCCCTTGGATGGGCATCAAAAGTCCCCGGGGGCAGGACAAAGGGTCTCTCTAAGCACCAAGTTAGCTGGTTGTGGCCACTGTCCAGGCCCCATCTCCCATCACAGAACCCCTCTCTCCAGCCACGGAATATTATCTTATGCAGTGGGGCCCCTTCTCCCCACTCGACAAGGTCCCTGCCTTCCTTTTCCCACGTCAGTTCCTCTCTTTCCCACCCTGGCCACTCTGCCATAGCCCTTTTACTTCGAGAAGACTAGAGGAGCTCCTTTCTTTTCCTTGTTACAGCACATCACCTGCTCTCCATCTCCCTCCACTCCCACAGATCCCTATAGGCAGAGTCAATTCTCATGACTGGGGAGGACTCTAGTCCTCCCTCTATACTGCACAGAGATGCCTCAGGCCTCCTTCTCTACCATCACGTCAATCACCAGACTCCCAGAAGACCATGATTTAAGAAACAGTCTGGACACTCTATTTCAAGAAATCCTAAATGAACACTGCCCAGGTCTACTAGGGCCAGAGGGCAAAGCAAAGATATAAAGAATCCGCCAATCACCCCCTGAAAGGAAAAGTCTCCAGAATATCACAGCTCAAATCCAGAGCTTTCACATCAAAAGGAAAAACTACTGCAAATATCCAGAAAACAGCAGCTCAGGCACCAAGGACTGACAGTCAGACAGGATCCCATCAGACCTGGCATGCATGAGAGGAGAGCTTGGAATATTCCAAAAGGCAAGAGAGGCTGACAACCAAGAACTTCCATCCTTCAGCATTTCTGAGGAAAAGACAACACTGAGGAGGGGGTGAGAGACAAACACAAGAGTCTAGAGAAAGCCAGAAAAAGGAGCGTGTCTGAGCACTGGAGGAAGCCCCATGACACTGACGCTTAGAAGGGGCAGATGAGGCTGAGATGCCTCAGAACCTGAATGCCTCCCAAGGTGCCTAAGAAGTAAATAAGAAACACAGACATGGAGCTTGGGACAGAAGAGACGTGAGGACAAAAGCAGGAGAATGTTGGTGGACAGGGAAGAATGGGGCAGAACCTGCAACTTCTCATAGCCGGGTTTGAGAGAAGATGGTCCTAACAGGGTTGTGGGGGGCTCCGTCCTACCCTAATGGGGTTGTGGGGGTCATGGGGACCTCCCTCCTACCCCAACAGGGTCGTGGGGGCCTTCGTCCTACCCTGACAGGGTTTTGGGGGCGTCCCTCCTACCCTCATGGGGTTGTGGGTCCCTCCCTCCTACCCTGATAGGGTTGTGGGGGCCTTCCTCCCACCCTCATGGGGCTGTGGGGGTCGTGGGTCCCTCCCTCCTACCCTGACAGCGTTGTGGGGGCCTTCCTCCTACCCTGACGGGGTTGTGGGGGCGTCCCTCCTACCCTCATGGGGTTGTGGGGGTTGTGGGTCCCTCCCTCCTGCCCTGACAGGGTTGTGGGGGCTTCCCTCCTACCCTAATGGAGTAAAGCTAAACAGAGAGGGCAGGAACTCCCCAACGAAAGGGAGAAGAGACAGACTAGATTGAGAGGCAAAAGGAACTGCACATTGCTTACAGGAATCACTTTTAATCCAGAAAGACCTAACCTGATTCAAGACAAAAATTCAGTTCTGGCTTTGCTAACAGATATCAGGGTGGGGAAGAGAAAAAGATGGGGTGGAGTGTTGTCAGGGGCTGCAAGGGGCACCACAGTGTACAGTGCCAGGCCTGGAGACAGGGAAACCTGAGTTCAAATCTGACCCCGGCAAGTGACTTAGCTTCCATTTGCCTCAGTTTCCCCCTCTGTAAAATGGAGAGAACAGTAACAGCACTAAGGTGGCTGTTGTGCCCAGTACCTGGCACACAGTAAGCGTGTGCGATCATCATCACCATCATTAAGATGACAACTGACATTTACCACGTGCTTTCTGCATCTCAAAGCACTTTATGCACCTTGTCCTGCTCGCGCCTCACAGAATCCTGAAGACAGAAGAAGAAACTGAGGCTCAGAAAGGTAGACTGGCTGACGGTCACACGGCACGTGTCAAAGGCAGGACTCAAACCCAGGTAGGTTTGGTTTCAGCCCTGGCACTGGCTCCGACCTGTGGCTGCCCAGCGCTACCCACCCTGGAGTCGCCAGGTTGGTGCCACACGAGGCTCGCCCCCACACCGGATGCTCCCGACCTGGGTTTGATTCACGATGTCTCAGATAACCTCAGGGCTAAACAACATCACGGAGCCTGGCTGTCTGTGCCTGGGAGGCAGATGGCGGCACAAGGCGGGGACCCCAGTAGCTGCATTTTACTGCATTTTTATTTATTTTGTCAAATAGCTCCCAATGATGTTTCCACTGATTTGGGTCACACTGGCCTGCAGGCTGTGCTCGACCCCTCTGGGGTAGAGGAGAGCACTTTGGGCCTGGCATCACAAAGACAGGAGTGCGAATCCTGCCAGCCTTGTGGGCTTCTGGTGAGGGTCACACTATTCCTACAGCCCTCCACCAACCTTGAGTGCTCTCAACATGAGCTCTTGTCATCACTCTGCCTGAAGGGAATGCCAGGGGCTTCTCACTCACCTGCACAGGGGTTCCCTGGGCTGGCCCCCTCGGGCATCCAAGGCACTTCCCCTCGCTCCAACCGGAAGATCACAGGGGGCCTGGAAACTGCCGGTCCTGCTCATTGAAAATGGGAAAGTGCTGGGGGAGGGTGGCCAGCTCGGCCCAGGAGAAGCCCCCTTCAGATCCTGCCTCCTGCACTTTCTAGCTGTGACCATGGTCCAGTCACTTCACCTCCCACCTGCCTCAGCTTCCTCATCTACAAAATGGGGATAACAGCACCAGCCTCCCTGGCTGAGGGTAGGCCCAAACGAGTTACCCAGCTGCTCCACAAATGCCAGCCAGACAGGTGTTCTCTAACTACTTACCATGGGTCAGAGAGCTGAAGACAAAAGCGGCTCCACAGAGGAAGGGGAGCGATGACCCAGAGTGCCCAGGGAGCAGGCCTGCCGTCAAGGCTGGGGGTGCTGTCCCCCAACCCACCCCAGGGCACCCACTCAGGCTCCTCTCGAGCCTCTGGACACCCTGGTCAGGCTGCCGCAGAAGGACGGGCAGTCTGCAGCCTCGGCCCCCACCCCCACCCCATCTCCCGAGTCCAGCCCAGAGGCAGCCCAGCTCCTCACCCAGGCAGGAGCCATTCCCATAAGTCTCCAGCACCGCTTGGTGACACAGCTCCATCAGAGAAGGGACCAGCTGCTGCCACTCCGCCTGTTCCAGAAGGTCCCCGACTCCTGGAAGTCAGAATACACGTGTGCTCGCTAGGCCATCCCTGGGACTGGAGCCAGGGCCCATGGGGCCATGCCCATGCCCCACACCCGCCACGTGGGGGATCCAAGTCAAACATGGTGCAGCGCTGGGGCGATGATGAGAAAAGCGAAGGTGAGCAAGAGGCAGAGAGAGCCGGAGGGAAGGACAGCAGCTCCCCACCCCACCAACCCTAGGGCATCAGCTTCCGTTGGGGGACCCCTGGGCAGGGCTGTCCCTCTCAGGGAGATAGAAGCCTTCTTCCTCTGCCCCCACAACTCCCTTGAGGGGTCCAGTGACCACCTCTTCCCTGGCCTGGCCCCCTAACCTGCACATGCCATCCAGCCTGGCGGTGTCTTTCCTAAGGATGTGGTCAGGCCCAGAAACAGACGATGGGGACGCCCAGCCTGAGCGCCGGGCCTCTCTGTGAGCAGCTCCTGATGACCTTACCCAGCCTGGATGCGTGACCTCTCTATGGGCGGCCCCCCCACCTGGCCTGGCCCGGCCTCTCTATGGGCAGCCCCGATGGCCCCTCTGCCTACACTGGCTGCCCCCACCTTGAGCCTCTGCCCCCTGCTCAGCCCCCTGCAGCTCGGCTCCCCAGCTCATCCTCCCAGCAGAGTGACTGCGGAGATCCAGCGGCCTTCCCCCTCTGTGTTCTCCTTGACTCTGTGCAGCCTGGGCACGGCCACTGCCTCTCTCCTTCTGACTGCCCCTTCTCAGTCCCCTTTGCTGGATCTTCATGCCATCAACCAGTCAGTCAATAAGCATTTCTTGAGGGCCTACTGTGTGCCAGGGACTGCGCTAAGCGCTGGGGATACAAAAAGGCAAGGACAAGCCCTGACCTCAAGGAGCTTCCGATCCAATGGCGAGAGAGAGAACGTGCAAACCAACAGACACACAGCCACCTCTAGACAGGCTCAAGAGGCAGCAATACAGGGAGGGAAGGTGCGAGGGGGCGCCAGAGGACACGGCGCAGGGCTCGGAATCAGAAGGCTCTGCGTCTGCCAGCTGGGGACAAGTCACGCTCCATGAGCTGGAGAAGGACACGATGAGTCAGACACGACTAAGCCACCGAGCCCCGAATCCTGGGGAAGGCTTCCCGTAGGAGGGCATCTTCGGGGGTCGGCAGGGGGCGGCCCCTGCTCCCTTCCCTCTGGACTGGGTGACCTTCCCTGAGCTGAGGCCAGATCTCTCGGCCTCAGGCTATCTGCTAACGCAGTCCTCACCGCTCTGCTCTGTGGTCCCTCCCCACCCTTGCGTCCAGGCGCCCCCTCCTCCCAGCCTCCCTCCCTCCTCACTGCGTCTCCCCCCAGAGCCAAGCCGGTGCCCAGGCCTGTGGATGCACCTCTCTGACCCGCCCCCAGCCTGGCGTGGCCCCTTCCCCTCAGCCCTGGAGGAGGCGCTGGCTGCTGGGGGGTCTGCCTGCCTCAGTCTCTCCCCCTCCAACCCGTCCTCTATGCAGCCACCAAAGCGAGCTTCCTAAAACGTACGTCCGACCCTGTCACTCCCCACTCGGTCAGCTCCGGGGGCTCTGTGGGGACTCCCGGACCACACAAAGTGCTCTGTCTGCCCTTCAAAGCCCCTGCTGCCCCGTGTCCTCTTCAGGCCCGTGAGCACGGCCTCTGGCTACACCCAACTCTGTCTGGCTGACCCTCACTGCTCCCCTGGGGCTCTGGACCTCCCTGGCTCCAGTGGGTCCCAGCTACAAGGCCACCTCCTCCAGGAGGCTGCCCCACCCCCTGGACCTTAGGGCCTTCTCCTGGTTCATTATTTCTCATTTATCCTGCACAGATACACACATGTACACACTGCACGCACACACACCATGCAACCACATGCATACACCACACCCCCTAGACAGATACATACACACACTGCATGCACACACCATGTGTACCACATGCACACATGTGCCTACAGCATACAACACACATGTACACACTGCATGCACACACCACAGGCACACACACCACGCAACCACATGCACACACCCACACCCCCTAGACAGACACATGCACACACGTGTACCACATGCACACACTGCACATATGCACACACTGCATGCACATGTGCATGCAGCATACAACACACACACGTACACACTGCATGCACATACCACAGGCACACACACCATGCAACCACATGCACACACCCACACAACCCAGACACATGCACACTGCATGCACGTGTGTGCACACTGCGCACACACATATGCACACACAACACACACACACACATGTACACACTGCGTGCACACACCCCAGGCACACACACATACATACACTGCACACCACACACATACACACATGTACACACTGCATGGACACACGTGCACACACCACACACCCGAGATAGACACACGCACACACACACATATGCACACAACCACACATCCCACAGGCACACACACACACACCAACACCACACTCACATGGGTGACACCCACACACTCTGCTGGCTCAACAACCAGACTTACTGAATCATGTCTACTCCAGGAACTACTACGGGCACACCCCGCTAGAGCCCGCCGGGGGAAGCCCCCTGGGTCTGGAGTCAGGGCACCTGGGGATCCTACTTTCTGACAATTCCAGGTGAGTCACGGCAGCCTCTCCAGGCTGCCTCAGTTTACCTGACTAGGTGACCTCTGAGTCGGACAGCTCCAGAGACAGAGTGCTGGGCCTGGAGTCAGGAAGACCTGAGTTCAAATCCAGCCTCAGACACTTCCTAACTGTGTGACCCTGGACAGCTCACTTCACCTCTGGTTGCCCTAATCCATTGCAGAAGGACGTGGCAAACCAAATGGGGCCACGAAAAGTTGGACGCAACCAAACAACCGCAAGAGGTCCCTCCTTGGCCCTAGAACTGTGCTCTTATCATTGGTGATCCACACCAGAACTTGGCAAAGCCCCCCAGGTCTGCTCAACATCCAAGAGCCGGGGGTCCCTCACCTCTGTGAGGCAGGCATTCTGAACATGCAATCAGCCCATTCACAACTGAAGAAACTGAGGTTTGGCAGTGACTGGGGGCCAGCTGCCGCCCATCCCCTCAGGGCTGACTCTGTCCAGGGAAGGGCCTCCCACGGACCGGAGTTCCCAGACAGTCCTGCTGGATGAGGGATGATTCTGCCTGCAGACCACCCCATGACCCACGAGGGAGGCCCAGGAGGAAACCAGGGCCCAGCTCAGGCTTCACACACTGGCCCAGCACGGGACTCTTAACGCTGGGCAATGCACCATATGCACTCTTCTTGACCGCCCTGTCTTGGGAGGAGAATCCAGACAGGGCTCCCTGGGGCTCCCCCCAAAGCCTCGAAGGCAGAGGCCCCGGGGGCTCCTTTCCTCTGCTGCCTGTGGGAGAGAGCGCCCCAGAATGTCTGCCCTTACTTGGCTCCAGGGGCTGCAGGAAGAAGCTTCGGAGGCCTCCCTCCCAGGAGGGGGGGTCTGCCTCACTCCACTTTTGCCCAAGACTGTGAGTTGTTCCCTTGGGCCATGCCACACTTCCCCTAAGAAGGCTTTGGTCCCAAGACCTGGGTTTGAATCTTGCTTCTGCTGCTCACTAGATGGGGTCTGAAGGTCCTTCCACTTTTCAATATGATTCTACGATGGCTTTGGTTTCTTGGGGTTCAGCACCCTGAGGGCAGAAATGCCATTTGAGAAAGAAGATCACGTGTACCCGGTGGGCCCCTGCCGTCAGGACACGGACCGTTTACTCTTCTTCTAGGCTCTCTCCTGCTGGGGGATGACAGAGTCCTCAGGATGCCAAGCCGGGGGAGAAAAGGGGAGCATGAGGGGCTGCAGGGAGCTCGGGGGCTACCCCGAGCATAACTCAGCCCATGGCGACAGTTTCACAAGGGACCCGTGGGGCCGCAGGGTGGAGGAAGGGGGCACCCGCCCGATCCCAAATCTCAGCCCCCAGCCAAGCCCCCAGGAGCCTAAAAGACAAACCCAGGCCTAGCCCCTGCCCTCAGGGAGCTTCCCTGATCAGGACTCCATCCACTTCCACAAAGTGACCACTGCACTCCTGCCTCTGCAGGGGAAACCCGGAGAGAAAGGATGTGCCCGGGCCGCCCCACAGCTTCAGGATCCCAGATCCTGAGCCCTCACAGGCAGACATGGAGGCACTTCTGAGGGACGGAGGCACAGAGAGGAACCATCCTGCCACCCTGGGGTGACGAGCAGGCGTGGCCCATCAGAAGGGGCTGGGGCCAGGAGGAGCCCCAGCAGGAATGGGGGGGCAGGGACTGTACCCCCACATAGAAGGATGGGAGAGACAGTGGGAAGCCCCATCAGGTGTGTGAGGGGGCAGGGACTGCACCCCCACACAGGGGAAGGATGAGGGAGTCAGTGGGGAGCCCCAGCAGGT